CCGTGGGTTCATGGGGGCCAAGGAAGAAAGAGCCTGGTCCCCCTCAGTCTGAGTCCATTCCCGCAAGGCCTATGAGGTCCTCCCCTTGGGGTTCTTCCTTGTAGCGGCTGGGCTTCTGAGTCTTTCCCCGTTTGGGACATTTGTTTTTCCAATGTCCTTTCTCTTTACAGTAGGCATATTGATCCCTTGCCAAGGGGGTTCTGGGCTTCCCCCCTTTCAGTGGTTCGGGTCTCCCCATCTTTGTGTTGTCCTTTTCATTCAGGGTGGCAGCATGGAAGCTGACTTTCTTTTTCATCTTTTTGTCGGCTTCCCGTTCAGCTGCAACCTCCCTGTTCATGTAGACCTTATCGGCAATCTCAATCAGTTGGGTGATGTTCATCTAGGCAAAACCCTCTAGTTTCTGAAGTTTCTTTCTGATGTCTGAGGAAGCCTGAGCCACGAAGGTGGTGTTTACCATCTGTTGGCTTTCCTGTGCCTCGGGGTCAAATGGAGTGTATATCCTGTAGGCTTCACATAGTCTTTTGTAGTAGTCCCCAGGGGACTCCCCTGGTTGTGACCGAGGATACCTTAGTCATGTTCATGGGTTTCTTAGCTCCTGCCTGGATTCCCTGGAGGAGGGCCTCCTGATACTGGCAGATGTGGGCCTGTTCCTCGGTTGTGGTGAAGTCCCATGCTGGGTGCTCTTCGGGTGCGGCTGTGTTAGCCCAGGCACCAGGGTTGATGACTCCCACTGGTGCATGCTCTTCCAGGTACTGCCATGCACCTTTCATTATTCTCCTCCTTTCCTCTGTATTAAACAGGGTGCGGAGTAACTGTTGGCAGTCTTCCCAGGTTGGCCGATGAGTCTGGAAGAGGGATTCTATGAGGTCTACCATGGCCTGTGGTTTCTCAGAGTAGGATGGGGTGTTATGTTTCCAGTTGAGGAGGTTGGTTGTGGAGAAGGGCTGATAATAACATCATGGAATGGCTGGGTTGGACCGTCCATTCTTCATTGTGCCTCTCGGGTTCCCGCGTCTCTTGTACCGGCATTTGGAGGGTGCTTGCCCCTGGCCTGGGGCATAGCCTGGCTGCTGGTCCTGGAGAAAGTGGATCTTTTGGGCCTGGGGGCGCCAGTGGATCCTCTGGGCCTGGGGGCGCTGGTGAAACCAATGGCGGCAGTGTGTCTGGAGCTGAAGGGCAATGTGTAGGCAGTCTTGGGGGTACGTATGGTGGGGGCAGGGTCGGTTCATCCTTGGGATCTCCGACTAGGATTTGTGGAGATTGGGGCTTTTGCTGATTTTCTTTAGGTCATTTGGATGAGGCGATTAAGACCCTGGCCTGTCCCTGCCTATTGCAAGCAAATCGCATCCAGGGGGGAAGGGTCTGAGCAGTTCCTAGCCAGGAGTCAATGTACGGAAACTGGTCAGGGTGTCCTGGTTCTCCTGTTATGACTTGCCATACTTAAAGAATCATTGGGACATCCAATGTCCCTTCTGAAGGCCACCTGACATCTAAGATGGGCCATTCCAATTCACATAGGGTTCTTAACTTGCCGGGGTTCATCCTGACTCCATAGTCTCCTGAAAACCACTTCTTGAAATTTTGGATCATGGTCTCTAGAACCATAGGTTTACTCTGCCCTGACCCCATGGTGTTGTCCCAGTGTGCGGTGGCGCAGAGACAGACAAAGGGGGAGGGTGCCAACTGAGATGAGGAGACCAATCAGAAGCCTGTCTGGTCGTGTCCCAAAGGAGCTTGGGTGAGGCTTAGCCATAGTGGTCTCAGTGTTGTGACTTATGATCAGAAATTATTCTGATGTCGCCATAGACTGTATGCCATTCACCACGGAATTGCAGACGGGCCCACTCAGACTCCGTAGACGTCTGGGGACCTTAAGGGTGCCCGCCCATGGAGTCACAGAATCAGTCCACTTGAGCAAGCCAGGTTGGACTGCATATTCACTCCCACATTCACACTCCAGAAGTTATTACATTCCCTCCCTGGGAATCCCTACCTGTGAGACCTCCAAGAGGTCTCTGGGAGGTGATCAGGCTCCCCTTCCACCCCAATGGAGGTGGGCCTGTCTGGATCCTGGGACCCATGGCCTTACCAGAATCTGACATCGGGACCAGGTCCTCGCCTGCCAAGTCTCCTCAAATCCGGTGGGAATAGCAGAGTGGGGCCAGCCCAAGGCGACTGGGGCGGGAGACTGCTGAATATTAGGGCATGCCTTCTCCGTTACAATCCCTCGTTCGGTCACCACCCCGCCATTGCCCCAAACCGGTGGCAACAGTGGGCCAGTGTGGTTGGGTTTCCTGGTCAGGGAACCAAATGTTACAGAACCTGGACTGGATCGCCCAATGGAAGAACCTAGCAGAACCCCAGATCTTGGAGGATAGGAGGTTTATTTAATGCCAGCGGTCTCAGAGTAGAGTGATCTCCAATGCTCTGAGCCCTGAGCACAAAGGGGGCAATTAATACACTTCTACTTCTGCATACTTGGCACTTTTGGCGCATGCACAAAGCGGGGCAGGGAGAAGAACCTGAAAGAGCCCCAGGGCAAGGACTGGGACTCTCTGCCTGGCTCGGTCCGCCATCTTATGTCACAGATTTCCTTATCACTCCCACCGGGTCTGAGTTGAGGGCATGGTTCAAGGTAAGTATCAGGGTCAGGGTTTGCCTCCCGGGGGCCACTGAAATTGGCAGTTTGCTGGAATGAACATGCAGAGATCTCCTGCTCTGAGAACTTTCCACAGTTCCAAATGGTGTGGTTTCCTTCTATGTGGCAGGTTGAATCCTCTGGTATTGCTCAGGTATTCCCAATTCCTGGGGCTTTGGAGCCCAGCCTCTGAGGCCATACACCTCAGAAGCCACCTTATGGTTAGGGTCAGGGCCAAGAGGAATGGGAGGCTCGATCTGCTGGCACTGGGGTGAGCTTCCCAGGGGTTTGATTTGAGAGTGTGGGTCAAGTGAGTGTTAGGCTCATGGTTTGCACCCAGGGAGCCTGCAGAAAGTGGGGGTTCGCTGGAATGGGCATGCAGATTTCTCCTGCACTGTATGGTTTCTAGAGTTCAAAATGGCTCAGTTTCCTTCTGGGTGGCAGGCTGAGTCCTCTGCTATTGCTCAGGTGTCCCCAATCCCTGGGTCTTTGGAACCAGGCCTCTGGGGACAGACCCCTTAGAAGCCATGCTAGGGTTTGGGGTAAGACCTAGGGTCATGGCATGCTGATCTGCCGGTGCAGTGATGAGCTTCCCAGGGTTCTGTGTTAAGGGCATGGGTCAGGGTGAGTGTTAGGCTCAGGGTTTGAGGCCTGCAGGCCACTGAAAGTAGGATTTGCTTGGTTTGGCATTCAGAATACCTCTTGTTTTGAATGCTTCCCAGAGGTCCATTTTCACAGAATCCATCTGGGTGGCAGGTTGAATCCTATGGTATTGCTCAGTAGTCCCCAATCCATGGAGTTTGGATCGGGGCCTCTAGGGACAGAACCCTGAAAAGCCACCCTAGGTTTAGGATTAGGGACTAGAGGAATGTCAGGCCCAATCTGCAGGCACTGCGGTGAGCTTCCACTACTTCTGAGTTGAGGGTGTGGGTCAGGGTGAGTTTCAGGCTCAGGGTTTGTGTCCAGGGGAGCGCTGAATGTGGGGATTTGCTGGGATGGGCATTCAGAGTTCCCCTGTTCTTAATGCTTTCCAGAGATTAAATGGCGGGTTGAGTTGGCAAGTCCTTCTAGTTGGCAGGTTGAGTCCTCTTGTATTGCTAGGAGTCCCCAGTCCTTGGGGCTTTGGAGCCAGGCCTCTGGGGACAGACCCCTCAGAAGCCTCCCTAGGGTGACGGTTATGGCCTGGCAGCATGGCAAGCCGAACTGCCGGCGCTGTGGTGCGGTACGGATGGTTTGACTTAAGGGCGTTCATCAGGGTAAGTGTCAAGCTCATGGATTGCGGCCAAGGGGCCGATGAAAGTGGGGGTTCGCTTGGATGGGCGTGCAGTGTACTCATGCTCTGAATGCTTTCTGGAGTTCCAAATGGCTTGTTTTCCTTCTGGGAGACAGGCTGCGTCTTCTGGTCTTGCTCAGGTGTCCCCATCTCGGTGGCTTTGGAGCCAGGCTTCTGTGGACAGACCACTCAGAAGTTAACCTAGGGTTAGAGTTAAGGCTTAGGATCATTTCAGCAGGGATCTGCCCATGCTGTGCGAGCTTCCCGGGGGTCTGAGTTGAAGGTGTGGGTCAAGATGATGAGTGTTAGGCTCAGGGTTTCCCGCCAGGGGGCCACTAAATGTGGGGTTTCACTTGGATAGGCATGAAGATTTCTCCTGCTCTGAATGCTTTCTGGAGTTCCAAATGGCGTGATTTCTGTCTGGGTGGCAGGCTGAGTCCCATGGTATTGCACAGGTGTCCCCCAAACCTGAGTCTTTATAGCCATGTCCCTGGATGGTGAGAGAGCTCATGTCCCCAGTCTCAGAAGTAGCTGTTGGCCTCATCTCTCTGGGCCAAGGGATGGCCAGTGCTTCTATAAACACCCAGAAAGAGTGGGAAAGGTCTAGACAGGAGAAGATCATCATCACAAGTTTTGTGCCCTACTAAGGCCTCAGTATTCCCTTTTGCAAAACCAGGATAACCGATAATACTTATGTCACAGGATTTATTTGTGAATGTTATGAAATAATGTACTTTGAACTTTAAAGTGTTATTATTTTTATTCCACTTGTAGAAGAAGAGAGAAAAAGCCAGGGTGGGGGTGGAATTGAGTGCCCAGTGCTCTTGGATATTACCTCTGGAGTTTCTGCTGGGTCTTCGAGGTGCCCTTCTCCTTTCAGGTAACCTGGATGGGGAGACCCATGCTGCAGAGTGAACAGTGGAGGATGTTTTCCTCCGAAATTTCATGCTGGGCATTCCCAGGGTGTCTGGTCGACCAGCTGATCCTAAAGCGCTGGGCTAACCAGTTGGAGATCTGTGTCCTGGTCTTGAGGCAGCTGCCTGCACACAAGTTCTACTTCCTGGTGGGCTACAGTGAGACTCTGCTGTCCCACTTTTACAAATGTCCCATCCGTCTGCAGCTCCAGACTGTGCCCTCCAAGGTCGTGTATCAGTACATCTAAGGCAGTCACCTTTTCTGCATCAGGCTCTAGCCTGTGAAGGACTGAACCATATGGGAAAGGAGTGAAGTAGAAATGGGGAAATACATCCCCTCACTGTCTCGAGGATTCCTTTTCAAAGCTGCTGTTGAATAAATAGACCTTCTGTGTTGTCTTCCCTCTTGGTTTGTCTTTCCTCCTTAGAGAAGAGAACTAGAATAGGGTTTCTTCGAAGATGTTCCAAGGCTCCCCAACAGGCTGCCAGTTGTTTGAGGCTTGGGTAATAGCTACAGTGCAATGAGTCTCTTGTCACTTTACCAGGAACTTTACCTGGGGTTCTTTGTTTTTTCTCAACGTGGAAGAATCCATCTTTGGTCATTATAAAATAATCAACATTAATTTTTAAAAATTTTAAACAGTATGGACATGTGTCAAGTCAAGCATGAAAGTTTCTTGTAATTCTTCCATAGAGAGAACTACTGTGAACAGTTTATTTTATTTCCAGATGTACTTTTTCCCCTCCAGAAATAACTTAATGGATACTCGTTCTTATTAAATAAGCTTTCAATTGAGCACCTCCTGTAGGCCACAGATTCTTCTGAGTGCTTGGAATCCATCAATGGACAAAACATTCTGTTCCAAGATCCCTGCCTTCGTGACACCTGTACCCCTGTGGAGGTCTGCAGGGAGGGTTAGGCAGCACTGAGGACTCCCAAGAAGGTGAGCTCAGTACAGGAGAGCATTTCAGGAGGTGGCATCTGCAAAAGCTGCAGGTGGTGCTGGGTGGTGGGGAAGGGATTGCTGACCAACTTCACTGTGACACTGACCTTGACCCTCACCTTGACCATGACC